CTTGACATGCGACCTCATGAGCTTCCAGCTTTGAGAAGTACATATAAGTGGGCTTTCAGCCAAAGTAAATGTACGCAACAGTTTTTCTCGGTAAATAGTAGAATAAACATGCTGTCTAAAACCGTGACAAGCCACATCAGCAGAGTAAGACAGCCATTAGTTCATTTCGTCCAAATGAGATTTGTTAAACTATGAGATGCAACCAACTTCATCATAGAGACCTAAGTGTGCATTGATGTTCAATAGTCGCTGAATAGTCCCCCAGTCACCATCTCTAACAGCACACCAGAAACATAATTTCAGATATCTTCTCCGCTCAGATTTTGCAACAAATCTTTCGGAACAAGGAATGGGGTCGGTATAGTTTCAGTACCTTGCTAAATTTGGTGTAAAGCTCGGCACTGGTGTTTATGACAACCGTCGCAAAACTATGAAAGCCAGTTCCGCAGTGATGGTCTTGGCAAAATCAGACGATTGCTCCAAATGAAACAGTAAGCATATAACAGCTGTGTAACAGTCGTGTTCAAACATATTCAAAAACAGTCTGTAAAAATATAAAGGTTTTCTTCCAAACGTGATACACTGCTCGTAGGGTTGCCGAAATCTCTTCGACAACCATCCTTTTAGTTCACTAGCTTCTCCCTTGCCCTCATGTTTCAATTGAACCCGAAATGGACAGTTTTTAACAAATACATTTATTTGTACACTAAGTTGGTTTTGAGAGGAGACTAAATTCAGCTGAAATGGTCCAGTCGGATTTAAAATGTAACAAAGTCTTCGCAGTAGGTTCAGATGTTACAAGTGCAACCAGAACTAGGACAGTCGATGGGATGCAGTTAAAGACCATCCAAGTAATCTTAAACACATTCCGCAAAATTAGTTTGCCTGTACAACAGTTACCCAAGAAATTCGTGTGTTCACGAAGTGTATTCTAACAAACGTCCTCAACATGCAATTTACTGAACGCAAATTCATGTCTGAATCATCCAAATAAAGTCAATCCCTAACCGGCTGCTCAGTGCCTAGTGTGTAGGGTTCAATCTCATGTGCGTTTAACTGGTATTTTCCATGTCAGATCGGAGAGTACGGCTATATCCCAGTCATCAACGTACTTTCGCGGTGTCTCACACAAAATGGTCCCACAAAATGGAGCAAAATTATACTGACGTCAGTGTCAGCTTATTTGGACTGGTTGTTGAAGAACACCGTCTTAAACTGGGAGGCATAACACTGTTAGTTTACACCATTTGATTTTGCCACACGATTCGTTTTTTCATTTTCTCGGTTCCGGTTGGCTCTGGCAGAAATTTCATCTGGACCCACAAAATAGAGCAAAATTATACTGACGTCAGTGTCAGCAAGCATCAGGTGGGCGCACTGGGTTGTGCATTGTGTTTGGGGAATGAAAAAACAGTATCCCCATTTGCTGGACAGTGTTCATCATCAAGCTGAATCACCTCTGTATTTTTGTTTCAAAATCCTCCAAAACCCGCATTCCTGTGTAAGCTGTTACAGTGCCATTATGGACTCAATTTCATTCTGAATGAATATCTGGTTAAGATTTCAACTCTCTGTCTCTGATAAGTATGCGGTAGATTCAAAAATGGCCAGAGACAAAATTTAGCCCTAGTTCTCCCTTCATAATTCTAACTTTCTGTCTCAATTTGGATCAGAGCAACTGGCTATCTTAGACATCTATGCCTCACTTACTCGTATGAACTAAAGACGTGTGACACGTTAGTTAGAACTGAACTGGTTGTAACAGATCTATCGGAAATATCGCCATTTAAATGCCAGACAACGAGGACAGAAAAAACGGAAAACTGCAACAGTAGGAAATTATTGTAGGGACACCCTGATGTGTCGAAAATTACGCTGGAATAGAACACTACCTCGTTTCTGAAAGACCAAACGCGCAACAACAGACAAATTTTGGCTTAGCACTCCGAGCAGAATATGATTCTGTGCCTGCCACAGCAACCAGTCAGTGTCAAGGGCGGCGGAATAGCTAGCCAATAGCAAGTTGGACAACAATATCTCATAGCATTCAGGTTGACTCGAAGCGATTTACGTTTAACTTGCTACATTACGGCTAATGACCCGCGAAACTCTCGGCAAGAACGGAGTGGAACGCAACACAGTTTTTTCAGTGTATGTCAGTTTTTTATTCTTATTACATGCTCGGGCTACTTCCTATATTATTTTGAAGGCATCAGCAAAATTTAAGCACGTAGTTATTCAAATTTGGGTCGAATTCACGTACACTACTTATTTGTCAGTGTTCACTCAAAGTCCACTTTGGATACCACTCCTGGGGGGATGAGTAGTTTTGACGTGAAATATCGACAGCGATCAAGGGGACCTTTCAATCTGAGACGGAACTTCATCCTCAAATGGTAAATATTCTAAATACCTTTGCATGATTGTGAAATATATTGCCCGTCTTTTCACCAGCAGATATCGATTTTAGTTTCCGATAACGCGTGTTTGGGGATGCGGATAAAGGTGATCGAAAAAGCAAGGTCGAAAGAGGCAGGAAACGACAAACGCTGTTGACAATTTCTATTCAGCTCTCCCAGTAACTCAGGTAGTCATTTCTGGAACAACAAAATCCACAGAACAAAGTCAGCCAAAGGATGATGAAGATTCAGTCGATAATCTTCTATTGAAAGCATATTTTCCCACAAGCCGGTACGCCAATGATGGATCTCGAGAATTACACACGAAGAAGGTTACCAAGGAAGATGTCACAAAGTCCCTCTCTTTGTGGTAATCTCTCTTCTTTGGAAGCAGTGTGTAAAAATTACGTCGATCATCATTCACTAGTGTTTTGTTGGTGTTTTTATAGTTTCCTCGAATGACAAGTCTTCAGATTTTCAGCGAGGTAAAACGTGCACAGGCTGCAGCATGTAGGTTTCTATTCTTCACCCCTCAGTAAGCCTTTTATGCAAAAAATGAGTTCATCCTCTGGAAGTTGACTAAACTACACACAAGAATGTCTGTAAGTAAAACTGTTATAGCTGTGGCTTCTGGCTTTAGCCTGATGCTAATTTATTATCGGAATCAGCAGCGTTCTAAACTGTTGTTGGTTGTTGAACGCAACATTTTCTTAATAACATTACTGTGGTCGGGCGTTATATTTAAGAGTAATTTATCGATTCCGTCCACGCCAAGCTGGCATATACCTTGAGCTGCTGATTGCAATAGCTCTATTGCAACTGTATTGCTACTAGTACGTTCGGGGTACAGGACACAGAGTCAATCAATAAAAACCAGCCACTCGTACGAAGCAAATAAGCTTAGTTGCAAAAAAGGAGCAAATATTCACTACATCTGTCTTGAGTGAGTACTGAACACGCTAAATACTTCGATTTCTGCATTAAGCGAAACGGTTTGAACTAACGGTCATACAGTAGAAAAATGACGGGTTTTTCCCTACCAACCTCTATGCCCCAAAATGAACTGAAAAGCGCGTCATAGTCCACTCGTACACCTTAGGGTCGTTGGACCAACCTGAAACAATGTACAAGTATTCTGATTCGCGTGTGAACAACTATGATCAGCTATTTCAGTTTATGTTTGGAAAGTGAATTCTTTATGAGACGATATGGTGTAAAAGACGCATTTGTTCAGATAAATTTTGCAAAAGATGCCCGTGCAGAACTTAGTTAACTGATGGCAGTTTAATGGAGGTTCTCGTGAATGAAACTTGACTCCGCCATTGAAGAAATCGATAAATGTACTTGTGTAGCTGTGCTCTATAGCTGTTTTTGTTGACAAACATTTTTTTCCTGCATCCGGCTTGAGAACATGCGGATTTGGCAGACTAGTCAAAAATTGAAGTTTTCAGGATACCTATGGCGGATTGTACTGCATTGGTAGCCACGCAGACTTCATGAGCGTCAAAGTTGTCCTGCCAGTAAGAATGATGCCTCATCTGGCATCTCTTACAACATCTTTTACTGCGCCAAATAAAATAACACGATGAGCATAACTCTGTCCCAGTGCCGCATTTTAGAAAAATTCCAGCCCCTGGAAAATCAAGACTTCCGGTGACGAGATGTAGATGTCCGAATCACCTTCATAAATTTACACGACAAAAGGAACAATGTTTACATTGTGTAATGCGGTGATTATTGTCCTTCTTTGATTGGGATGCGAAATGTTTCAAAATTAAGGTATGGAAGTTCATTTTTTCAGTAAAAGCCTTCAAGTTTACGGTCATTCTAATATTAAGACACTTGTGTTAATACTGAATCACAGCCACGCTACAATATTTACCAAGAATAAGGCTTGTCAAGTAAAAAACAATAAGCATAGCAATTAGAATTTCGTGTCTCGATTTATGTCCTTTTCTGAGAATGGTACATTCAAGCATGTAATAATTAAACTAACAATGAGGCATTTTGCCCTGTTGTGTACAGATCTGGACACTGTTAAACTTCACCAATAGGTCACGAATGGTATATGGTCGTTCCTTACAAAAAAACCGCTCTGCACATGTTTTTTTAACTCATTATCCCCAATTCCCATCGATTTCTGACGATCGCTAAATGTACGTACAGACCAAAGTGTGCCTGGACACACTACTTCAAGTTATGTAAAATGTCTTTTGTTTGACAGTCTTTCGAGTCTGTAACCAGGGCCCAACGTTTCACGTAAAAATAGTGAAATTCAGTACATTGAATGAGGAATATGAAACCCATAACAGCATAATGCATAGCAGTATTACCCTGGGGTAACTGGGTTTCTTATCCTAAGTTAGACAACATGTATAGACATTCTGCAATTCTTGTCCAATCGCTAGATTACTTACTGATTCCGCCGAAATAAAAGTTTCGTTATTTTTTTATGTCGTAGAATTACTGTTGTTCCAGCACACACAGTACTCTTCCACTCTAGGAAGTTTAAACTTTACATCTTCAAATGTGCCTCATAAACGTCTATGGTTCGCAAAGTATGTCCCCACATTCTGTCTCTTCCTTTTTTTTGCTCCGCAGAAATACAGTAGTGGTGCCATTCAAACTCACATCACAAGTCAAAGAAGCGAAACCAGCCGAGTTCCCCCAAAAAAGTGACACTCATTTGCCATGTCTTTGTTTGCTCTGGATGGGGACAGATCGGTCCTACTTTCATTGTGCACATCAAAGGTTGAGATAAAATTCGGGGCGAAACTGTCTGATGTCAATACAGCAGTTAATTCAAGTGAATAAAACTAGAATTTGCTTGTACCAAAGAATAATTTGACAAAGAATCTGAATCCCTAAAATGGTTTTGAGCTGAGGGAGAAAAACAAGAGGTGCTGTGTCGACAATGCAAAAATATTTTGACGTCGTACCTTTTTAAAGCATCGATTCCATGATTGTGGAATGAGCGTCGAAAAAATTAGTCACATATAATCTCACCACGAGCAGTTCAGAACAACTCAAAAAAAGTTAGAAAGATTAGAAAAGTATTGTCGCCTCTGATTAACGAGGTAAGTAAAAAGCACTAAAGCTTCTTTCTAACACCTGTGTGAGAACGGTATAGGGAATTTCGAAAACAACATAAGTGCTTGAGAAGTAAGACGTTTTTGTTTCACTGCGCATCATGACGGTTTCTTAAAGCACTTTCATAATTTTCTCTCCCTTTTCCCATTCGGAGTGCGCTGTACCATAATTAATCCGGGGACCGGAACCACCGAAATTATGAAGAGTTATTCACTCTGAGGAACCTTGCTCCGATCCGAGGGAAAGAGATGATCCAACCAAACTTTTCAAGTGCCGCAAATGCAGTTTGTGGTCAGTCCACAGCTAAGGCTTTGGCCCGAAAATTTCAGCACCCTACAATCTAGCAAATTAAATTGGGAAAATTTGATTAAACCAATCTTTCACCACACTTTGTATCGAGAAAATGAGCACATCGCCGTTTACATTTCGTGAGTGTCACCGCAGGCTTACGCAATGTGTACCGTATCCGCGACAATGACCATGTACGGAGCCAACAAAATTCAGCACAAACATTTCGTAACAGACATAAAACTGAGGGTAAGACGCAGTCTTGATCATTCTGGGTAAAGTTTAAACAGCCTTGCAGTAATTTACTTCTCAGCTAAAACTGGTATTACCAATTGAACGAAATTCTCAGTTGAAACTTTGCAGATATGCTCACAATACCGACAAAATAAAGATAGATCAGAAGAATGATTCGCACAACGAGTAAACCTTTAATTTGAAGAGGAGTCACCAAGGGAGCTAGTCAACATGTAACCACGTGATAAGGACCCCGTGATCCAATGATGAATAGCGTTATACCACATCCAAGTGTGGGCTGAGCACACTGATGATCAACCACTGGCGGTCGAAAGGTTAGGTGATAAGACTACCATACGGGAGGCTGGGTGTTAGAAACTCCCTGGATTTTCCCGCGATCCACACTTCTGAGGATCTCAATAGGGATGAGACAGTTGTGCAGCGCTTCCCAACTCTTCAGCATATTTAGCATCACTTTCGGGACAACATTTCCATTGAAAATGTGCGTTTTACATTTTGTCGTCTTTCACTGATCTATCTGACGTCTCAGCGTACGTCATTCTAAGCATACTTCGCTGCGCAATGTACGCCATTTATCTGGTGAGGATGCAATTTGTTAAAATGAAGTTTGACAGCTTTATATCATACCCCACCTGTCCAACAAACCCATAGCACTAGTCAGAACACTGTCACACCAAAAGCACTTGTTTTCAAAGTTACGTGGAATGTTTCTGCAGGAGTTTTCCTGAACAACATCTATCTTCCGGATATTGGAGATACGTTTACTATCCTTTTAGTAAAGAGGAACACAAGTAAGAAGGCAGAAATCTGCAATTGCAAAAGTACAATGGAGAAAGCACCTGGTCCCCGTTGATTCCCGTTGCTTCTGCGCTGAGCACCTTGCAAGCCAAAAATCTTAGACCGCACTTTACCCGAGGAACCGTATGAATATCTCGAAAAGCCTCCAAAATTCTCTCCTAATATAGCTTTACCCGACCAGTAATATTACCACAACCTTATTGTTTTTTATGGGAGATCGCAATCGACAATGGTGACAAAAACCTTGTAATAAAAAATAGGATGAGTAGGGTTCTGAACCGAATAACCTCATAATGTTGCACACTGATTACCAGAATTCAACACGATGTGTCTATTTATCGTGATCTATCAGGCTGGTTCAAACCTGACGTTTTATACATTTCACCCAGGTCTACTGGGCACGTAGTACTGATGCTTACTATGAGCATTACCGTTTGGATAAAAAAGCGAATGCGCATCGTTTCTGAAATCTCAGTTCAGCAAAAAGCGCAACTACTGGGCAATCCAACTTAGACTTATATGGCACATTCTCTGCATTCATGCTAGAATTTTATACCTGCCTTCTAGGATGAGTCTCTATTCTCACGAAAGTCCTCGCTCTCGCAACCTGATGACTTACAGTTTTTGCTGAAGTTTTTTGTGGATTAGTTATTGCAATTTACTCCCGTTTCCATATCATTGAGAATGCAGTGCCTGGTGGTCGGAAATGCAATGGGGTAAGCTTTCTTTTGGTGAAGGGAGATTTTCCGTCTTCATTGAATTGCACATTCAAGTCGTCAAGTCGTCAAGTCGGTCCAATATCAGTAATCGGTGTAAAAAAAGGAATAGTTGGTTTTTCCAGGGGAATAGCCTCTTTGGTCCACACCCTGGGTCATAGCTGACTAGAAAATCCTAGTGGTAATGACTGACCTTCAGTGGGTTTTGCTTAGAAATTGTTCTATTTTGTTCGGACGGGTTAAAAGCTTTGTTTAGCCTGTAGATGTTTAAGCTGCCACTCTCCCTCTTATTCCACCTTCTGACTACATAGAAACCTCAAACAGTCTGCAACAGTGTGACAGCTGATAGATTAGCCACGGACAACAATACTTAAATCACGAGACAATGCATTTCTTTAAATAAAAATGTTTTTTCCGCCGGGAATACTACCCTGAGGAGTGAGACACCAATCAAAGGAAGGCCTATTTGAAACGGACACGAAGTTGTGCTCTTCTCATCAAGTTTAATGGATCACTCTGAAAATTTGCAAAGCACCGCTGAGTGCAGAGTTTAGCACCCTTTTCCAGCACTCACTCATCGCCGTAGGCTGGGACCTAAATAAATAAACTTTTTTGGTCATATCAGGCCAGGTCTTTCATATTACTTACGGACGAGTACTAGGCCTTCCCACTCAGCCAGTAGTTATGTAAATCCAATCTCAATTTCTACTGATCATTCAAACGGCCAGCGTTTGAGAAGGTGGTTAAAAAAATGAACGAAGGACCCAAGTACTAATTTTTATTGTTAAATTGGGCATATGTGCGCTCATCTACCAGGTTATCACTAATCCTTCCGGGTATACATGTGTCACTATACTACGAGGTAAGATGTAGCTGAGATTGCCCGGGTAGTGTATTCCTTCTCCCCAGGAGGACGTAGTTAATGTAGTGGAAAGGTTCAACACAATATGGTGAATGGTAACAGCTAAATTTGTTCTGTCATTTATAACTCAAATTTCAAGCCTTGTCATCTTCACTGTGGCTTGATAACGTTCTTCTGTCCATGGTTTCTCCGCTGAGTTTGTGACACTGTTATCCTTAGCAGTTTTGGCTGGCCAGTGTGCTTAATTTCAGCTTTACTAGACCCAAATTTTTTCTCCCTTCAATTCAAGAATATGGGGCTTCAGACAAAGCAACCGGACTGAAACAGTCGAGCGATTTGCACACAACCAGCCATCCGTCAACGTCTGTTCGAACACGCAGTCTGATCTTGAAAGATCTGACAACACGTAGTGATATATTAATCATGCGATCAAAAATTCCGAATTGGTCTCTTGACTCTGTCGAATTAACCAGTTTGTCAATACTATGTAAAGGCTTCACCGATTTTCCTGCCTTGATGAATGAAAGGTTCCGCCCCATACAATCCTGGGGAAAAGCGCCGTTTACTGAAACCGAGCCCTCTATCGACCGTGGCTTGATTGCTCAGTTCCTCCCACTGTCTAGAAAGATGAAACTCATATTTACTTGCACTGTCCTGTCTTTGAGAGAACTGCAGAGGCTTTGCCAAGTATTTTGTGAATGCGGATCTTGTTTGTAAAAGTTCAATAATATTCTAACTGCCTGCGATGAAATTTTGTTCTTTTCAACTTGAAATACAGACTTTTTGAGATAACACATTGGCCCCAATATCTTGAGATTCCTAAAAAAGTTATGGCTCGTGTAATTAAAAATTGCTGTCAAGAGATAAAATAAATCACAAGATTTCATGAAAGGTTTCTAAATGTTTGGCGAACCCACGAAATATAAAGATTTCATGGTAGCTTTCAAACCCCGATTACTTGTAGCACTTGCAGATTATTTCAGATTGTAGGTGAACAACAAGTTCGAAACGACCAGTACGGGGATCCGAACCCGTGTCGTAGATACGGAAGTCAAGTATATTAACGAGTTGACCTCTCAAGGTTAACAGGTAGTCGAAGATGTGTGCGAATACTTGTCCGGGTGTAAACTTTTTACCTGACACAGAAATGAAACGCTACATATGACATTCGCATTAAGGTGTGCACATATCGCGTTCCATGTGTCTAGAGACGCATACAAACCGACATTGAGGACGATCCACCGTTTTTGGTTTACGGATGTTGGTTACGCTTACAACGTTGCCGCCGTGAGCAAAGATCTTACAGACCTTCTACCGCTGGACGTACTGGTCGCTACGCTTCGCTGGTTAAACTGGAACGGCCTAAACGTTTCGCTACAAATATGGTCATTTATTCTAGCTTGCTTGGTGCCAGCGGACAGTGCGTAAACCAAGTCGATTCTTTTGAATACTCAGGCCCCGTCACTGTGTAAAATAACGAAGCAGGCTATCTCAAATTTGCTTTCCACACGTCCAGAAATTGATCTTCAAACAAAACTCATTTACATATGCCTGTAAGCTCTGAACTCTTCAAACCGACAGACTTCGGGGATTCAAATTCTACGGACACCAATGCCTGGAGAGAACGCCAGAAATACTTTGGAATGACATAGTATATTCTAACCATATCCCAGAAAGCCTACATAATTTTATGAGACGTCCTGCGTTTGTCCAGAAGGACCGACTATCCAGGCTCGGAACATCCAGTGGAAATTGGTCATCACTTGATCAAGTATAACACACTAAATCTTATTTGCATTATCTCACCATAACATCATTTCTCCACGGGGTGCAAAAATTAAGTAGAACTATTTTGTTTTTGTGTTATTTCGAGAGATTTCATTAATCCTGCTGCACGTTACTATAGTTCGTTATGGAGCGGCTTCTTCATTTGGCCGTTTTCGCTCTGTAAACTGAGACTAAACTATGCGAGTGTTGTATTTTTACGTTTCAGTGGAGAGAAAGTTCAAAACATGTCAGCGAATTTCGATGGTAATACACGAAACTTTTCAAATCAACACAGTGTGTTAGTATCCCTATTTCATATCACGCAAACTCAAGAAAAAACCTCTTGATGTGGTAACATCGCTTGTCACCAATTAGTATAAGGCTGACAAGTGAGGGAAATTGGACAAGTTTTCATTCGCTGTCGCAAACCAAAACGATAATGTTTTGTCTTGCATCCTTATATGTGCTGGAAAATTAATTCTCTACAACGACGTGAGCCAGTCAACGTAATCATTTTCATTCCAGAAATGAAAGAGCTCTACAAAGTTGTCAGCTCTCAAAGAGAGATTCACTGTTTAGTGCTTTGCTCCTAGGGTGTCTAACCAGTGTTCTGTGACCCATGATAGTAGAGAAACAGACGATTCGCTTTACTTAAACCTCAGAGTGGTTTGGTAAATACAAGTACAACGTCGGTCGACGAAGATGGACGAAAGAGGTCTAAATTCGATTCACAACAATTACAGACTACAGATATCGAAATTCTCCTCACTCGGCTGGTTGGAAATGGGCCGTGGAATACAGACAACCCCCTTCTATCCAATATGATCAGTCCGACGAACTGATTAAATCAT